TCAACAGTCAAGGGGATAGTCATAACAATACATTTTTTACAATGTGGCATTAAAATTTACACTTAGCTGCACATGTAGTAAATTAATTTTATTTATATCTCTAATAAACACACATCACAAAAACTGATAGAGCTTAAAGCATATAAAAGGAACACAACAGGTGAACTCCTCACAACTATATGCTTAAATTTGATTATTATATCCTGATAATGTAACCAATATATATCATAAATTAAACAATTGATCAAAGAAGTTTCAATAGGATGTATACAAGTAATCTTTTTTTTATACATCACTCAAAGAAGTTGTTACATTTATCTCCACTAACTATCATCCTAACTGAATTTTATTTATCTTATCTCCTTTTATATCCTCAAAGAAAATATTTACAAGACCAAATCACTTATATTTTTAATTATTTCATCCCACCCCAAAGAACATATGATGTGATAAACTTAAAATTAGTATTCAATCAAAATGAACAACGATATTAATGTATAAAAAATAAAAAATTATATTTATGTAAAATACGTTTTCAGTAACTTACTAGTTTTGAAGAATGTGACATGCTGCAACTATAGTGTTGTCAAAAATTTCCTTACACTACAAGAAAATCGCATATATTTCGACGGATTTTTACCAGCGGATTTGTAGCCGTTGAAATTGAGTCATTACCGATGAATATAAAACATTTGTAGAATTTGATCTTACCAAACGGATATATCCATCGGTAAATTAACAATTAATTACAGACGAATATTTCAGTCGGTAATTTCATCGATAAATTAACAATTATCTACCAATCGAATATTTTCTTCGGTAAACCCATCAACAAATTAACAATTAGTTATCGACATATATATCCGATCAGTAAAATTATATAATAATTACTTAATATATTCTAATAAATTAATTATTCACCTAATTAAAAATTTAAATATTTTTTTATTTAATAATTTAATTTAATCATAATTAGATTAATTTATAATAATTTATTAAATTAAATAATTTTAAAAAAATAAATATTTTATTATATATAAATATATCAAAATATATAAATATATCAAAATATATAAATATATAAATATATTTTTATTTATATATTTACATGGATAAACATTTATTTGTATATAAATATAATTTATTTGTAAATTATTATCAAAAAATTCTAATAGCTTAGTGGTTGGAGTATCAACCTCCAACTCTAAGGTATTGGATTTGAATTTCTCCAATAAATAATAAAAATATTACCAACGAATTTCTATCCGTTGGTGATTTCGTAAAACATTTACCGACAACCCAATTTCTGATGGATTTTTGGTCGTCAAAATTCCGCCGGTAATATCTATTTACCGATGGATTTTTGTTATTACTGACGAAGTTTTACCGTCGGTATTTTCAGTATTTCTTGTAGTGTTAAATTTAAACAGAACTGCACAAACAATAATTAAAATAAGTACACCTTGAATGATGCAAAGACTAATTGAGAAGGAAGGAGTGTACATAGTAGTGGAAAATAAATTTAAACAGAACTCCACAAACAATAATTAAAATAAGTACACCTTGAATGATGCAAAGGCTAATTGAGAAGGAAGGAGTGTACATAGTAGTGGAAAATAATGAAATTAAGTTGCAGTAGACAAAATAAGGAAGAAAGAGGAGAAAAATACTACACACTAGGGTTTGTTTGTTGTTCGAAGATGAGAGATGCATGGTTTAGGTGCTACGGTTTGCCGTCATTTCAAAAATGAGAGGTGTAAGGTAGAGACATAGATTGGGCCTCAGATTGGTTTGTGTGGTGACTCTTTGAGGTGCCAGGTTAGGAGGAAGACCACATGCTACAGTTGACTGCAGTTCGAAGATGAGAGACCGTTAGAGTTGGTTTCGATGTAGTGGAAAACAAGAGAGGGTTGCGTGAAGAAGAAGAGAAGACATTGTAGTTCAACGAATTCGAAGAAACGGGTGTAGGTTTAGAGAGAAGAAGAGACAAAGAGAACAACGATGATGAAAGTTTCGTGAAAGATTAAAGTTGTGCGAAATATATTTTACTCTTAATAGCGGTTTTTATATAAACTGCTATAAGTGAATTTTAAAAAATAAAATTAAATACGTTAACGGCGGTTTATTTTATAAACCGCCGGGAATTAAATGAGGTTACAAAACCGTGGTTAAATTTATACATTTTCGGAGGTTTTCATTACCACCATTAAGAACCCCTTGTTATAATCCAACATTTTTGTAGTGACTATTCTAATATTCAACCATAAAGTCATAATCATATACATAATGTTGTTTTAACAAAAACTTAATTATCTTAATGTTTAATCAAATTGATGAAATACGTTATATATGCGCATGAGTCTAATATATTCTATGACATTTGTATCCATTGGATATATGTCAATGAAAAACTGCTATATTTTAAATAATTTTTCATAAGTATAATTATAATTAATTTTTTGGTGCATAGTCATCTTTAAACAATATTTGTCTTATATGATCTCAACCTCTTTCTATTTTTACTTGAATAATGATTGTCATCTATCGTATCATACAATAACCACATTCATATTTTCCAATTTGTCCGTTACATTGTTTTTCATAATATAGAAATTAAATTAGTTTGTTAATAACAAAAATAAATATTTGAGATTCTATTCCAACACCACAAATCATGTTTTTTAGTTGATCATCCATGATTGAATAAACTAAATTATCAAATTCATTTACATATGACAAATATAATAATTTATTATGTCATGTTCAAATTATAAAATTAAAAAAAAACATCACATAAAAGATACTCCATAATTTTCTCAACATTTAATAATCTTCCATTAAGATAATCAACACACATAAACCTAAATTTTCCACCAACAAAACTAGTTGAAGTGTTCGTTGTGCAAAATAAAAATTATTTCATTCCTCTCTCATACTCATAAGTTACGCAAGCATAATTAATTAAACTTTTGTTTATTTTTAGATTATATAATGCATACCAACTATATAATTCAATCAACAATGCAATTTGACAAGATCGGACATCCTTGGATTCAACACAAATTCATTCAAAAAAATAAAATATCAATATCAACTATCACAATGCAAACAATCAATCGATTCATATATTAATCAAGTCATACAATTGCTTACTAAAGATTAATAATTAACTCTCACAATAGGGAAACAAGGGGCTACCACATACCATAACACAAGTTGTTTATAGACCACCAAACATAATATATACCACCAAGAGAGGAAGAAAGGTGGCAAGAGAAAAAGAGGCAACAAAAATAAGGAAGGAGAAAGGAGGAGCGAGGTGCAAGGAAGGAGAGACTTGAGTGACACAAATGAGAGAGGAGGAAGCATGATTGACAAAAAAAAAAAAAGATGAGCAGAAATAGGACATAAAAGATACGACAATAATTATTAATAATAATCAACGATGATTAATAAACACCTGTCATTAGTTATTATTATTAACATTCAACAACAAATATTTAATACAACTAATTGTATATTTTATATGATGTCGTTATTAAATAGTCATCGTTATATAATTATTAATATTTTTAAAGAATGATCTCTATTAATAAAATAAAACACATGTGTAATTAATATTCTATACAATTATTTACTATAATCAATAATTATTTTATAATAAATTATTATTACTTTTTAAATTTTCTCATTTACATTTCTTTATCGAATCCATATGTTTTTATATTATAAAGTTAAAAATATTTGATATTTTAGAGTTTTAAAGCTCATTTATACTAACCTTTTGATATTTTTCTAAAATGAGACAAGTATCCTTTTTACTTTTTAGAAAACATTAATCTCATATAAATATTACTAAAGAAGATAATATATGATCACCTCACTTAATGATATACATATTATTTTATTCAAATATATATTTTTTATATCATTAAAGAATATGAAAATATATGACTATCATCTTATTAAAATCATATAGTTTTTTTTTCACTTGATTACATAAATTAAGAAACATAGTATTATATACAAATAACAAGAAAAAAATAATATTTATATCAAAATTACAAAGAGCAAGATTGTCAAATGTCTTTCATTGATGAATTTTTTTCATTTAATTATATTTGTGACAAAACATAATAAATCTATTTAAAAAAAAGGGGGAAAATGCACTAAAAACATTTTATTTTATTCTTAAAATTCAAGATACAGTCATTTTAAGCATTAGGTTAACTATTTTTATTTCAATCATTTTTGAAAAAAAAATAGTGAAATGGTTTTTTTGGTAGTTGAAAATCTAAATTTAGTTTAATTTAAAAGAAGAAAAATTCTTACATAATTAATTAAATATGAAAAGTATGATATTTATGTTGTCTTGTTAAATTTAATTATGTATCATCAAGTTAAAATATTTAAAAATCAATACTAAATTATAAAACTTAAGTGTCAATTTATATATTGTAAAATCCACCTCTTCAAGTTGCCATCTTAATATTTTGACAAGAAGAAAATTAGACAGCACTAACATTAGAAATTTACTCATCACACAAGTGTTCAATGAATTAGTTACAAAAGGAAGCGGGGGCAAAACAGTAAATGGAACACACCACGAGGGCATCGAAAAGGACACCCTTGGATATGCATATACCGAGCACTTTTAGACCAATAAACACTTTTAACTTAAAAATAAATAAAATTATTTATAAACTAAAATTCATAAAAGTTGTTTCCTTTAATCTCTCCAAAATCTATATTTAAGCTATAATAAAAGTAATTTAAATATTGTTCTTAAAAAAAGTTTGTAGAAAAAATTATATATTGACATATAATATAATAAAAGTTATTAGGTGGGGCTGCGAAAACGTTACTTATACCACTGCTCTACTACCATACCGGGTGCGGAAATAGCAGCAACTCGCTTGGTTTTGCTAAACTCTTATCTCATTATTCACTCCTCACCTAACTTTCTTCTTCAGTTCTCTTCTCAGATCAGAATATCAGCCATGGCGTTCCAGAAGATCAAAGTTGCCAATCCCATCGTCGAGATGGATGGTCCGTTTCTTCTTCTTCCGATCCGATCTATTTTCTCTCTTTCATTTTACCCATTTCTACTCAGTTATTTTCTTCATTTTTACCTTTTAAGTTTCATGTATTTCTTCTCTCTCTGATTATTGCTTTATTATTTTATTCGCTGTGATGTGTCTTGTCGTGTTGATGTGTTCCCTCTGATTGTCTTCAATTAGATATTTTGCTAGCGATAGTTTCTGTGGCCCACTATACTTAGCTCTCGCATTATTGGAAACACCGCGGAATAGATATTTTTGTGTTGAGGTTTTGAGGCTTGAAAGTTTTATAAGATATTTAATATTACCGTACACAATTGTTTTATTGAATCGGATTGTTTTCGTTATCGTTGTTGCGGGGATTTGATCCATTCTCCCTGTAAAGTTGCTTTTGGTGGAGATCTGCTCTGTTTTTTATTGTTACAACTACGGGTGTCACTTGATTTTTTGGTTGAATAAATAAAATTAAATTATGAAAAATAAACAGTAGGTTTCATAGGTTGTTGTTCCAAAGAAGAACATTATCATTGGACTCGTTGAAGTATTGGAAACTTGAGGGAGGTGTTTTTTGAAAAGTATATGCGATGACAGCCATAGCTAGTTTGTCTTTTGTGTATGAGCTGGATCTATGAAGTTTTGTGGATTGCATCATAATTGAAAGAGATAATCACTGACAGTAACTTCCATTGGCACAAATTACGTTTGCATTTTTGTTTGGAAAGTTATATCTACCTCCATTGCTTTGGATGTTTTTATAGGGTTTTTGTGTATGATTCCCACTATTTAAGCAGTGAAATATGTGTAATATTTAAAATGAAGTTGTTGAATTGTTTGAACAGTAAATGAAATAAGGGAGGAAGATGTTTTACTGTTTCTAGTAAAAACTTTTGAAAACAGAGAATAAAGTGAAAATAAGGTGGCATCTTTGTAATTAAAAATGAAAAAAAAAACTAACAAAATATTTTCTCAAAAGGTAACCTAGAATTTTCAATGTGTAATACTAATTTCCATTGATATTGTGTTTATCTGTTGAGGCAATCCTTAATCTTGCTCCTTGGCCTTTATCTTACATTGTTTGTTTGTGGATGATGCATTGCAGGAGATGAAATGACTAGGGTTATCTGGAAGTCAATCAAGGACAAGGTAATCTATCATCATATTGCTATTAATGCAATAATCACTTTTTTATTTTCTCATGAAAATTGTTGATAATATTAGTATTAATATATTTTTTTTTCATTCTCTTATGGGATAGCTCATTTTGCCTTTCTTGGAGTTGGACATAAAGTATTATGACCTTGGTCTTCCATATCGTGATGAGACCGATGATAAAGTTACAGTTGAAAGTGCAGAAGCTACTCTCAAGTATGTTGTTTGTGTACCTTTAACATCCCTCCACAATGATAGTCCTCTTGTTTATGTTTCTTCATTTGTTGTTTATATATATCTATTATGTATGTATGTACACACACATGTATGTTCTATAGTTCAGACAGTTCATTATATGTGAAGCAGATGAAATTTGTGTAGTTTGATTACATGGCCATTGATATGTATTATAACAATATTTTAATTTTAATATATTGTTTTTTTGAATTTAGAGAGGTTACATATTTTTAATTCTTGTGCTCTTTCATAGTTGTTAGTTATCCTTGTTTATCTGATGGTTGTACTGTTATGTAGATACAATGTAGCAATCAAGTGTGCAACTATCACTCCAGGTGCGGTTGTCAAATCCTGACATATTGTTTTAGTTGTTCCCTTCGTTTGGTTATGTGTGCATATACATTTGACAAATAAGAAATACAAGGAATCCTATGAGTTGCTTGATCAAGAATTTTTCTGATGGAGTTACTGCATGATAGTGTTCCATTTGATAGTAGATGTTGAAGCTTACACTAGTGTTATATTTGACAGATGAAGCTCGAGTGAAGGAGTTTGGCCTGAAGCAAATGTGGAAGAGTCCAAATGGGACAATTAGGAACATTTTGAATGGTAACTCAACTTAGTTCCGTTGACTCTTTTTTTGTTAGATGTTAAATACGAGTGAATTTGTATATTCTTGACACTCATTGGTAGCTAGTAAGTGGTAGATTGTTACAATATATTTTGTTTTTTTATTGGTTGTTTGTTTGGATATTTTCAGGAACTGTCTTCAGAGAGCCAATTCTTTGCAAAAACATTCCGCGCCTTGTTCCTGGTACTATTATTGAAAAATTTATATTTAATTACTTCCTGATAAATGGAGACGTAACATTACCACTTTACCAGGTTGGACAAAGCCAATATGTATTGGAAGACATGCGTTTGGTGACCAATATAGGGCTACTGATACAGTAATTAAAGGAGCTGGAACGCTGAAGCTGGTGTTTGGTATGCCTCTTACTTGATTTAGACAACTGTACTTAGAGCATCTCCAAAGTGAGTTGCTACCAAGAGTTGTTTAGAAATAAAAGTGAATATTTTATTATGGATCTCACATATGAGTTGCTTACTTAAAAATGGAGAAATTTACTTAAAAGTGGAGAAAATTGCTTAAAATTGGAAGAAAGTTGCTTGTATAAGTAATTCTGATCAAGCAACTCAACAGTAGGATCTGTAATAAAATATTTAATTTTATTTCTAAACAACTCTTGTTAAAAATTTTCTTTGGAGATGCTCTTAGTTCAAAAGTTATCATGTACTCAATCATGTTGTCCCATCTTAGGGACATAGTTTTATTGTTACAATTTTTGGTTACTAAAGATTATTTTTATGAATTCTTCTATACTTGTAGTTCCAGAAGGCCAAGGTGAGAAGACTGAACTAGAGGTTTTTAACTTTACTGGTGAAGGAGGCGTTTCATTGGCTATGTACAATACTGATGAGGTTGGTTCTGCAGTCTGATGTCACTTTGATTGGGTACATTTTAATGATTTATGGTAGTTATCGAATATCTATCTAATTCTATTATTTGGCATTTGATGCAGTCTATTCGTTCTTTTGCCGAGGCTTCTATGGCCACTGCTTTAGAGAAAAAGTGGCCACTTTATCTTAGCACCAAAAATACAATTCTTAAGAAATATGATGGAAGGTATACAATTCGTTATTAACTTATTATTAATGATTTTTTAAAACTTTTACTGCATCCATCTCCTGTTTGATTATATTAATTTATTGGCTTTAGATTCAAGGACATATTTCAAGAAGTTTACGAGGCAAGCTGGAAATCAAAGTTTGAGGCTGCTGGTATATGGTGAGTGGATGACTACTCTTGCATCGAGTGAAAAAATGTTCATATTATAGTATTATTTACATTTATCTGTTGAACTTTGTAAGGTATGAGCATCGGCTCATTGATGATATGGTGGCTTATGCACTTAAGAGTGAAGGAGGTTATGTATGGGCATGCAAAAACTATGATGGAGATGTGCAGAGTGATTTCTTAGCTCAAGGTTTTTGCCTGATATGCTTATTTACAAGTCACTTTCTTTTTGCAACTTCTTTTGCAAGGGTTTCTTTTCTTTACCTAATACTATTCACCCTGTTTTTAGGTTTTGGATCATTGGGTTTGATGACATCTGTATTGGTAAGTTTTATTACAATTTATTGTGTTTATATGATTAATAAAACTAGATTTTTTATTTATTTATTAAATCAAATTTAATAAATTTCTTTAAAATATTGGTTTATGACTTTTGATACTTATTGCATGATGGTATGGGTTCAGGTTTGCCCTGATGGAAAAACTATTGAAGCAGAAGCAGCCCATGGCACAGTTACCCGTCATTTTAGGGTTCATCAGAAAGGAGGCGAAACTAGCACAAATAGCATAGCATCCATCTTTGCCTGGACAAGAGGGCTAGCTCACAGGTACATTACTATCTAACTTGCATGGTGGAGTGCTAAGTTTTACTTGTTGGATTAGAAAGTTAGAAACTCTTGACTTATAATATTATGTTATCTATTTATGTTGACAGGGCAAAACTGGATGACAATGCTAAACTCTTGGATTTCACTGAAAAGCTAGAAGCAGCTTGCATTGGAGTAGTAGAGGCTGGAAAGATGACCAAGGATTTGGCACTTATTATTCATGGATCAAAGTACGTTAATTGTCATTGTTGCATAGGGAAGACATTGGTCAATTACATTTTCTTTTCTACCTAAGATGATTAATAAACTCTATTTAATTCTTGCAAGTAGGCTTTCGAGAGGGCATTATTTGAACACAGGGGAATTCATAGATGTGGTGGCAGCTGAGCTTAGATCGAAGCTTTCTGCATAGGCGTGATTTAAAGGTATAGTGTCTTTTTATCCTTCCTATTTTAATTACAAATAATGCTTTTCATTAAAGGTTATTTATTTATTTTCTTTTGTTTTTACCAGTACCAGACAGACCAAAAAGATTGGACCACACTACAGTATTCTGAGAAATAAGAAAGGAAAAAAAAAGCATTGATCCTTAGCCCCTTTTGCGATATTTGTTGGTTGGGAATGTAAGGGTTGACTTTTCTTCTCTGATTGTTTAAACTGATCTGTCCTTTGTGATTTCAAACTCATCTAAAAGCTTGTTTAGTTATAATGGATTGCTGCTATTCTGATTATTTAATCTTGTATTTTGTCTTATTCTTCTTCTGCATACACCACACTAGAGAACAAATTGACAATCAATAATCTTTTAGTTGCATAACCAGTGAAGAGGGTATTGGTGGTGAAAGAAAATGGTAGGGCGAAAAGGTAAATAATTTTAGATGTTTTGTTTTTAAGTAGAGTCCTTAAATAAAAAAGTTAACTTAACAAGAAATGTAATTTTTTATTAATTACATAATTTTATACAGAAATTGATATATTGAATGTGACTCCCATACCCTTTTTAATCCAGGTCTTGATAAGTTTTAATGTCTAATTTAAGAAACATTTTAGTAATAGTATAGTAGATTTTAATATATGATTTTTTTTTCACAATTTGTAAATAAATACTATTCATTTACATTTAAATGTTAGGATTAAAAATAATAATTCTCATAATAGAGGGATGAAAAAAAGTGACAAACAATAATTTACTATTTCTTTAGGGACTAAGATTAATAATTATAAACTGTAGAAACATAAAACACTTAAAATCAATTTATTGAAATAAATCTTAAAGATTTTTTTCTTAAAACAAAATATTTATTTAATTTATATATCATGAACATTCCATTGACAGAGATGGTCTGTGAATCACTTTTAGATATTTAAAAATGTAAAAAAAAAAAGCTTTTTAAAATTTTGTATTTACAGAAAGTTTGCTGATAGACAAAAAGCTTGGATAATCTTTCATGCAATATTTCATTGTTATGTTTATAGTGTACATTTGATAATCTTTGGTGAAACATTTTGTTACGTTTATAGTGTACCTTTGATAATTTTTTATGAAGCATTTTTTTGTTGCCTTTTAAATATATACTTTTATTCCCCCTAAAAGCTCAAAATACAACGTAGAAAACTTAAAAAACAGAAGAAGAAGAAGTTATAATTATTAAAACATTTGACTCTGCTATTTTAAACTATGTATTATCTATTACAATGTGTATTTGTACAGCAGGTAAATGTGTATTTGTATAACAGGGGAATGATGGTTAAAGAGAAACAGTTTAAACAAATGTAAATCAAGTTAATAAAACACCACTTAACATGCATATCATTTGTATAATGCATCGTCATTTTATTCAAAGATTTGTTTTTATTCCGATTATTGAATTTTTTTATGTATAAAAACAATTTTATATAATATGATTTATTTTAATCTATTATAATATTATATATATATATATATATATTTGATTTTTTTTTATATTTTGAACAATTAGATGTTAACACTAAAAATATCGAGAATTATCATTAAAATCGATAAAATTCAAATTATTATGATTCTAGAATTTTTTTTACATATAATATTATGTTTTAAAAATAATTTATTATTTGATCATACTTATTTAAAATTAGCTCTTCCAATAATAATATATTTATTAAGTTATTTTAAAATATTTAATGTTTTGTATAAGAAAAAGAATATTTTAATTTTATATTCATTATGATAATCATTAAGATATTATCTGTATTAAAATTTTATTTATTATTTTATTTTTAGAAGATAAAAAAGAAGAAATATATATAAATTATTTTAAAATTTATAAACATAATAAAAAATGTAATTTTATATTTAATGAATAATTAATGTTTTAATAATTAGACAAATGAGGTTAAAAATATTATATAATTAACAAATTAATTAGACGAAAAATAATTAAGTAGAAAAATATTTCATGATGAGTCCAAGTTGTTAATGTAAAATGATTTTAAAAAATTACATAAAAAAATATCAACAAATTTAATACTATCTGTTAGTGGGAAATTGATAAAGCGATCGAGAAACAAATGAGAGCAAAAATCGAGAACCATTTTTGATTGAGTTAAAGATTGATAAATCGAAAGATAGTTGGAAAATACGTTCAACGACCATGTGACAATATAAGCGAGAATTAGAATCGAGAATCGAAGGAAGAATGTTTAATATCCGTTAGTGAATGAAATCGAGAAATCAGAATTATGTAATGTTAAGGTTAAGGGGAATCGAAAGCAAAATCAAAGTTCTCGAGATTTTAAAATCGAAATTGAGGGGAAGGCTAACTTGCGTAAATATCGAAATCTTGGCCAGATCATAAAGAGAAGAATAGTTAAACGCGCACAGAGGAAACAATTTCTAAATCGTGGCAGAGGTCGAAGATCATGGGAACGTGGGTGCAGTTTTGACACCACAGAAGAAGAAACTGCAACGTGCACGAAGAACGTGGTAGCAGTTTTCGTTAACCGCTCCTAAGAGGCTACTTGAAAGATGATCTATAAATAGAGCGAAAGATGAAAGAGGAGGGGAGTGTGAAAAAATTGGCGAGAGAACGAAATACTAGTGAGAAGTCTACGGAGAACGACGAACATCATGAAGTTTCCAGCGATCCGGATTTCCATGCTCATTGAATACCTTTACCGCTTTCTTTATTTTCCCTGGTAATCTAATTTGATGCAATTTATCTTTAGCAATTTTAAGTTTCTGTACTTTCGATTCCTTGTCATTTCCTTTAATGAAAGTTAAGTTTCCGCATTTAAGCTTCTTGCTATTTACATTTCTGTAATATCGATTCCTTGCTATTTACATTTTTGCGTATTTCGATTTCCTGCCAGTTATATTTTCTGCAATCTCGATTTCCTGCCATTTACATTCTCGCTACTCCAATTTCTTGTCATTTAATGCAAATTTGAGGTTTCTGCATTTTTACCTCTTGGCAATTCAATTTTCTGTTTTGTTTTTCGATTCGACGCTTCTATTACTTTGTTTACTTTGAACACTCTAAACATAAAATACCAAAAACAGCATTTTCGATACTATGTAAATTTCGATTCTCATATGCATTTCAATTGAAAATCAATTTGCTAGCCTAAGTAAAAAAGAACTTACGTGGTTGAATTTTGATTAGAATCAAAACCTCTTAAGAATCGGAATCGATCAAAATTCCACCAGAAACAAATTGGTGCGCCAGGTAGGGGCATCTTGTGTTGAAAATACACAAAATTGGTTAGTTTGAAAGTATATGAGATTAAGGAGTGGGCAAGTTATAAGAATGAGTCAGAATCCACCAAATAACCAGAGTAACAGTGAGGGTCTAAATGGTGCACATCCACCAAATACTGGGGGGCAAAGTTATAATGAGAATATGCCTGTAATATCGACAACCGTGAGTATGTCGATACCTGTGAGTAATGAACAAAATGCGGGCACATTAGCAAATACCCAAGTAGGATCTAGTACGATGACACCAAACAATATGCAAACTATGGGAAACCCCATAACCACAAATGCTGGGCCATATATGAGCGTAAGACCACCGGGGTTTTCGCTTAATATGAATGGGGCTGATACCTCTTCGATACAACGAAACTCGAGATTTAACCTAGGAATGCCTCAGAACTCAGGTACCTTTCAAACTCTAGGTATGCCGCAAAATTTCGGAGTCTCTCCGAATTTAGGATCTCAAAATCTAGTAACCCCCAGAATTAAGGGAGTGGGCAGAATTTAGGTATACAACAGACACCTCCAAATCTAGATCACAGAGCAAATCTGGATCATGGGAGAAATGCATTCGATAGAGATTATCATCGATCTAATTTTGAGACTATTGAAAACACTAGTACTGGAATCTCCAGCAACTCACTAGGAGTACTTAGACAACAAATGGATGAGAGCAATTTTGAGATGGTGAATATGTTATCACAACAGTTGACTACAGTCCTCAATCCATTAGTTCAAAACACTACTGCTAGTTTAGAGATATTAGCAGACCAAATGACCCGTATCGGGGATGCATTGGCTATACCTCGACAAATAAGAGTGGAAAATCATGCCAATCAAAGCATTAACCAAAATGCTAACATCAATCCCCCGTATCTATTGAGGAGGAATCGAAACAATGATCAACATCAACATATGGGGAACGAATATCAACATGTGAGGAATGATATTTATGGGAATCTGAATGAGGGATTTCAAAATATGTACAATCAAAATAATATGCATTATAATCACATATTAGGACAAAGGGTAAATTCCCAAGGAATGGAGTTAAGAACACCCAATCAAACATATTTTGTTTCTCCTTTTCCGAATGTTATTCTCGAGACAGAATTACCTCGAGGATACAAAATACCCAAATTCACCAAATTTGCTGGAGAAATTGGTGAATCCACTATCGAGCACGTGGCTCGATATCAGATCGAATGTGGGGATCTAGCGATGAGTGAAGAATTAAAAATGAAATATTTCCCTAGTTCATTGACGAAAAATGCTTTCACTTGGTTTACTTCGCTGCCGCCCAATTCGATATATAATTGGTTGCAGTTGGAAAGAAAATTTCATGAGCAATTTTTTAGAGGAGAGACTCAATTAAGCCTCATCGATTTGATGAACATAAAAAGATACAATCATGAAAGTATAGATGATTATTTGAATAGATTTAGACAAATGAAATCGAGATGTTTTACTCAAATTCCTGAATATGAATTAGTCAGAATGACCTCTGCAGGCTTAGAATTCTCGATTAGAAAGAAGTTAGTTAATTTACCATTGAATGACATGGCTCAATTAGCTGATAAAGTGAGAAGAGTAGAACAAATTGAATATGAAAAACAAAGATATAAGAAATTTGAAAAACCCATGAAAAAAGAAAGAGTAACATATATACATGATGTGTA